TTCTTTTAACATTATTCAAATAACTTCTAAAAACTTTAGTTTGTTTATCATTTGGAATAACTACTCCATTGGTGAAACTTTTTTCCCATGGTTTATTAAATTCGTTCGACACATCATGTCCGCTTGCTAACTGAACGTAATCTTCTACACTTATCTTATCACTAGAATAACCTTTAAACGTTTTCTTTTCTTTTAAGACACCATCAGAAGTCAAAACGATGTTGTATTTGACTTTTGGTGCTAAATATAAACCAAATATAATTCCACCGTCACCGTAATCGTTTTTACCTTTGCAATAGTCTTTTTCGGAGACCAAACCAGCTCTGTTTAGTTTTTTCCAATTTTTGGATGAAATGTACAAACTATCGTATAGTATATTTCGGGTTTATAAAATCCATTTATGACGTGAATGAAATTGTTCATTATTTTTTTACTGTGAGATAAAACGAATGATCCCAAATGACTAAGTGTTAGTCGTGTAGATTTACTATCTTCGGTAGTAATCTCTTTTTCTTCAATTTCTGTTTCAACAATATATTGATTATCATTAATTTTCTCATAGGTTTTAACACGTGAATCAAAGTTGGCCTGTAAAGTTGCTTCATTCCATAAATGTCTAGTTGTGAATATATCTTTCTGAATTGATTTACCATACAAGGAATTACCTAATAATTTCATGCAGTTACTACCCACGATATTACCTTCTCGTTTATATTTATTTCTTAAATCTCTCAAAATTAAAATATAATCTCTATAGGGTGGAGTTTTAAAATTTTCTTCGTAAACTATACCATCTAATATTCTAATAATTCGTCCACCGGCTTTCACTATTTCTTGAATATCAACCGACGTTAAAACGTCGTGACAGAAACCATTTCTGAACCTGATTTTGTTACCAGTTTCCTTTTTACCTTCTTTATTCGTGAAATGGATTTTATCTTTAGCTGGTATCAGTTGGAAGAACATGTTTTTGGGATAGTCAAACCACACTGTTAAAATAGCTGTTCTAGGTCTGAATTTTTGTTTATTGAAGAGTTTTACAAATTCTTTTTCTTCTTCTGGTAGAAACGGTCTTCCACTTTCCGCTCTCGGATATTCACTGTCTAAATCAGACATGGCGGAAGCGTATAAACCGTTAGCATCAAATGCCATTAGTTTAGTACATTCTATTTTTTTAAGTCTCGAATGAACTTCCGTTTTGTCTTTTGTGCTTGCGCTGTATTCTTTGAATAAATCAATTATGTTATCACTTCGTGTTTCACTTTGCGAAATATATTCCTTTAATACGTTACAAATTTCATCCATTTTGTTCGTTTCAAATGATTTTCTATTTGCAGAAACTCTTCCTCCTTTAATAGATCGTCTGATAAAATTTCTTATAAAAGGATTAGTGTGCGAATAAACTTTTTCTATATTTTCGTTTTCGGTATGTTTCGCAACCATTCTAGTAGTTTCATACCATTCTTCTTCCACCATTTCTTTATCGTAATGATATAAATAATACCAACCCTTTAAAGATAAGATGGAGCCGTTAGATTATTGGACATATTCTGGTTTACAACTTCTTTCGTGACATGGTTGTATTTTATCAAACAAGCTCCCAAACAGAGCGTGTCTCTCTTGGCGTAAGGTTCCCATTCGTGTCTCAATTCCTCCCAGTTGTCTTGCGTGTATTTAGCGATATCTACGTCGGCAATCTTTCTCAAATTCGCGGGAAGATTGGAAGTATTTCCCCATGCAGCCAAACTAGAGGATTCGTGTTGATAGGAACACCGTGAATTAATATGTTGT